AAGTTTGAACTTTTAACCTTGACCATGGAGATTTTCGTACTTATGAAAAAACCTTTACCTTGGCCATAACTTTTGAACGGTAAGGGCTAGGGCTTTCATACTTGACATTTAATCCTCGTGACTGAACCTTTCATTGGATATCAAGAACTTTGACCTTGACCTTGGAGTTTGACCTACTCTTTAAAAACTTGAACCATGGTCATAACTTTGAATGGTTAGGGCTAGGGCTTTCATACTTCACACATGCAATACTTGTGAGAAGACCTTTCTTGATAAACCAACAAATTTGACCCTTTGACCTTGGAGTTTGACTTACATTTCAAGAACCTATCCTTGGCCATAACTTTTGAACAGGTGGTGTTACAGTCTATCCCAAAAGCACCGGTCCGTCGGACAAAACAGGTGACAATCTGATTGGTCCGATGCACTATCTAGTAAAATCGGTCCATTTGTCCGAGGTTCGTTTTGGTTGGATTTTAAATTTTATATTTCTATTTCATAATATAGACGCTTAATCTTATACCAAAACACTGTTTGTTTCCTGTAACCCGACCGACCCATTCAAATTATCCCCGAGTGGATTTTTTTTCTGACAATTGGCAAAACTGCGTTTGATCAATCAGCCGATTCCATTTATTTAAAAAAAAAATAACTTGTATCTTCTAATAACTTGAGACATAAAAAATGTCTATAGTTTACAAATTACCTTAAATATAAAGAGTAATCATTATTGTAACATCAATTTCCCCTACAACTTTGTGAAGTTCGTTTTCTGCCGCTTGGCAGCCATTTTGGATGCCATGTTGGGTGTCCACGAAATATGACACCTGGTATATTCAGTCCAGGGATGTTTGGCCTTACATAAGCAAAAAAAAAAAAAAAAAAGAATTCCCGACCTACCGACCCTTATTTTTTTGGAAAAGTTACAGGAAACAAACATTTTTTTTTTTTAAGCTTAATACATGTTTACTGATTCATATGCTATGAAAAAACATCGTTATGATCATTATATGAAAAAGTTTTGGACCGGTGAAAATTCGTTTGGTCCTGTGAAATTGTGTTAACTGTCTGTCCGAATGTCCTGTGGCGATTTTTCTTTTTCGCGAAGACTGGTGTTAGGGCTTTCATATTTCACAATAGTATTTCTTGTGAGAAGACCCTACTTTGGGTTATAATATATTTAATTTGCATTCAAGAAAAGTTTAATCTTCACTTTCTTGCCATATGGGTCATCAGTGTTTCACAAACACATCTTGTTCCTTATATTGAGAAGAGATATAGGGCTTTCATATTTGACATGTGTGTTACTTGTGACAAGATATTTCCAAGGATGCTATGATTTCTGACCCCTTGACTTTGATCTTCACAATTGACCTTATTTAAAACTAGAACTGTCCAAACGGGACAAAATACAACCCGCTGGATTTTTCAGAAGTGCTAAATCATGAATATTTTATGGATCTAAGGGAAGAGAGAAATGCTAAAACATATTTAGTGCAATCGTAATTGCTCATTATATTTTTCTTAAACGAAACGAAGGCGCAGCCTAATATAAAAAAAAATAGACTAAATATACGGACCAGACACGAATCATAAACTTTTTCTGTCAGTGACCTTGAACTTGCATAAATGACCTTGGTTCAAAGTCATGACAAAACCTCAGGCCATAAGTAATGTTTGTGTGAAGTAGTAGATTCAAGTTTTTCCATAATAAAGAAAGATATGGACCGGACACAAATTATAAAATTTTTCTTCCAGTGACCCTGAATTTCCCCAAATGACCTTGACCCAAGGTCATGACACATCCTTAGGTCATGAGCAATCTTTGTGTGAAATGAGAACTTACTAAGTTTATCCATAAGAAAAATATGGACCAGACACAAATTATGAAATTTTTCTTCCAGTGACCTTGAACTTCCCCAAATGACCTTGATCCAAGGTAATGACACAACCTTAGGTCAGGAGCAATCTTTGTTTGAAATGAGAACTTACCAAGTTTATCCATAAGAAAGATATGGACCGGACACAAATTATGATACTTTTCTTCCTGTGGCCTTGAACTTCCCCAAATGACCTTGGTTTCAGGTCATAACACACCCTGAGGTTATGAGCAATCTATGTGTGAAATTAGAACCTACCAAGTTTATCTATAAGAAAGATATTGACCCGACACAAATTATGAAATTTTTCTTCCAGTGACCTTGAACTTCCCCAAATGACCTTGGGTAAAGATCACGACACACTCTTAGGTCATATGCAATCTTTGTGTGAAATTACAACCTACCAAGTTTATCCATAAGAAAGATATGGACCGGACACGAATTATGAATTTTTTCTTCCATTGACCTTGAACTTCCTCAAATGACCTTGGGTCAAGGTCATGCCACACCCTTTGGTCATGGGCAATCTTTGTGTGGAGTAGTAGATTCTAATGTTCCTCCGTAAGAAAGATATGGACCGGACACGTTTGTACAGACAGACAGACAGACAGAAAGACAGACGGACAGACAGACGGACAAGGTGATTCCTATATAACCCCCAAACTTCGTTTGCGGGGGGGTATAAAAAACCAACTTCAGTGATAATTTCTCTTTTCCCTACAATATGTCATAAAAAATGATATCAAAACCACAAAGACACCGAAAGCGGGGGACAGCAATTCTTTGAATTTGCTTGTTTGAGGGTGCCGAGATCGCTTAAATTGAATGTCGCTAAAAATCAATTGCGTTATATTTGTAATAGCTCCTTGAATGTGCATTTTAAAATCGCTAAAATTACATCTCGCTAAAATTAAATTACCAGTTTTTAAGGACAAATCACTAAATTTGCGTCTCGCTAAAATTTCCACTTATACGGTATAATAAATAAATGCATAATAGACAAAATGCAAAAAAAAAAAATGTTCCTCCGACTGGGCTCGAACCTAAAACCAATCAAATGTAAGTTGGACATGCTAACCACTAAGCCATCGAGTCTTACACATACAAACACATTTTGTAAAGTAATTATCTGAAGGGGCAGGGAATAGTTTCGTAGTAAAGTCCCCGTCAAATTTCTTTTAAAACTGAGATATTCCCTGTTTGATGTGATATTTTATGTAGAAAAATGATTAGATTAATTAAGTACGTTTGCAGTGAATCAGAGTGCTTGCTGAAAAAAAATTATGTGCAACATGTAGGTATTACTATGACACTTAGCATATACAAAGCTGTAAATGTGAAACTAATACAGGTCAGTTGCAGAGGAAATTCAGCTGAAAAGCCGTTGACCTTAGAAGAAGAGGTAAGGTAAATGACCCAATATCAATTGGTGAATTTTCTTTAGGGCATAGATTGAGTTACAGATAACTGGGTGTTTTACCCTGCTCGGAAAAACAAACTAAAATCCGGGTAGTCCCGGGGTGCATTTTAGGTACATGTGCACTCTAACAGGCAGATTACATGTAATTTGTTGACATAATTTGTGAGTCATGGGCATTTTCTCAACACCACATCGTTCAAAGCGAGGTAACGGCAATTTATCTACAGTACAGGCCACAAATTTTTGGAATCGCTCGGTGGAAAAAACACTGTGTGAAACGCTCTGTGTTACACCGTGTACACAGTGTAGCACGGTGTGTGTGGATTTGAAATATACAGGTAGGCACACTGTGCCACACCGTGTCTAGAGAAATCTCAGCTAATGTCCTCCATGTCACACCGTGTCCAGTAAATTTCCCTCTGTGTCGAAACGAGTGTCGAGAAAATTCTCCTCCAAGCTGCACCGTGTAAATAGTATTACAGACAAAATCATTTGTTTCTGATAAAAATTTAATAATAAATTTTGATGACAATTTATAACTTTGGTTTATGTTTATACCGTATAAGTGGAAATTTTAGTGAGAAGCAAATTTAGCGATTTCTCCTTAAAAATTGGTAATTTACTTTTAGCGAGAGGTAATTTTAGCGATTTTAACATGCTTATGAAGGAAGTTAATTACAAATAAAATGCAATCAATTTTTAGCAATATTCAATTTTCCACTCAGCCCGCACCTCAGATCTCCAGATTTCCGCATTATTCCGCATTTTTTCCTCATTTTAATATGGAAAAAATGTGGAAAAAAATACGGAGAAAATTAACAATACGGAAAAGCAGAAAATATACAGAAATAATCCGGAAAATAAACGGAAATAATACGGAGAATTGGACTTAGTCTATTTTTCATCTGGAAAAATATTGAACTCTTAACTTAGAATATTTTTCATCTGGAAAAAATACGGAGCTCTGGACTTAGAATTTTTTCATCTTCCAGGTTTCACTCACAAGAACAAGATGTGTTTGTGAGACACAGTAGCACCTGGCGGCAACATTAAGTTCTAAAAAGCAATTTTTAGCAAATGGGTCTCAGTCAAGGTCACACAATCATTGTTCTTGGTGTCATTTGAAAGCACTTTATTAGTATAGTATGCATACCAAATATTAAGTCTCTATCATCTATGGTTCAAAAGTTATGGTGAAAATTCGAAAAAAGCTATAATTAGCACAAAGGTCACAGTCAAGGTCACAAGGTCATTGACCTTGGTGTCAGTTGAAGGTGCCTAATTAGTGGAGTATGCATACCAAATATGAAGTCTCTATCTCTCACGGTTTAAAAGTTATGGCGAAAGTTCGAAAAAGCTATTTTTAGCATATAGGTCAGTCAAGGTCACTGACCTTGGTGTCAGTTGAAAGTGCCTAATTAGTGCAGTATGCATACCAAATATGAAGTCTCTATCTCTCACCGTTCAGAAGTTATGGCGAAAGTTCGTAAAAGCTTTTTTTAGCATAAAGGTCACAGTCATGGTCACAAGGTCATTGACCTTGGTGTCAGTTGAAAGTGCCTAATTAGTGGAGTATGCATACTAAATATGAAGTCTCTATCTCTCACGGTTCAGAAGTTATGGTGAAAGTTCGAAGAAGCTATTTTTAGCATAAACTAAGGTCACAATCAAGGTCATAAGGTCATTGACCTTGGTGTCAGTTGAAAGTGTTTTTGTAGTGGAGTATCCATACCAAATATGAAGTCTCTAAGTCTCATGGTTCAAAAGTTATGGCGAAGGTTAAAGTTGACAACAGACAAACAAACAGACAGACATACAGCTAAACAGACAGACAGGACAAAAACAATATGCGCCCATAAAAAAATTTGGGTGCATAAAAACTGTCTTGGAGTTAACAGCAGTTCTCTGTTTCTCCTGAATGTTATGTACAATTTGATCGGGATCGGAAGAATGTTTCAAAAAGTCGGGCTCAGTGATCAATTAATTTAAACAACAGACCGCCAAAATTTAACCTTGGCCTCCATGTTGCAACGTCTGCTCTGCCTAAAGGAAGAAGTTTGTTGACCAGACAGCCTGAGATCGTATTGCTGTATCAACCAAAAGATGCAGATACACGTATTTCATATGTGGTCAGTCATATTTTTTTTAACATGTGTGTCACTGTGATGATGAAAATAAATACTCTAGGCCTAGGACTGAGCTACCAGGCTACGTACGTTTCAGCCAATATGCCCATGATTCAAATCTTTCAATCAGCTCATAGAATTTTATTATGGTTAACCACAATTAAAGGTGTTAATTTTGGGGAGCCATGGGCTGTAATCTCTAGCAATGATTTACCACACATTTTTTTTTTGGTAGCGTCTGTGCATGAGGAGGAGATTTCTGAAAAAGAATAAGTGCTCATTCAACTTACTGCGATTTTAACGGGCTTAAAGCTTGGTCCATGGATGGTTATGTTTGAGGTATATATATTCTTAAAACCTTTTTATTGCTTGTTTAATTAAAAACAGTCAACTATGATTGTCATTATTATAAATAATATTTTAAACAAATTGATATAAAATTGAAGAACCCAAACTTGTGTTTATAAAAAGATTTTAAAAGGAATAAAAGCAATGAATTTAAATTTTATTAATATTGCACCATTATAATTTAAGTACTTTTTTTTTAATTGATAGGATTTGCCAATTCGACCGCAAGTGCTGCTGCAAGAAATTAAACATGCAGAGACCTTACAAATTACAAAGAAGTCTGAAGAAAATTTTTATTGGACAGATGGGTGTAAAGCAAAGACCTGAGATATAAATTGAATTGTGAGAAATATGAATCAGGGATGCAGGTAGAAAATGGCAAATGTGATCCAGATTGATAAAAAATGTCTAAAAATTTTTCTTGTTTTGTAAATATTCAATGCTATGTCAATTGTTATTTTTTCCCCAATACCTAATAGTGTTGAACATTTCACTCCCACTTTTGCTTAAGTAGAATGAATAAATTTCCATTTATTTAATATGAATATTAAAAAATGCCACATTTTTCCATGATGAACTTGTGGCTCAAATAAGAGTTCCAGTTTTTTTCCATACATGCTCCTATTTGTTTGTCAAAGATATAAGATCCAATACATTGCTCATGAACATAATGTGTAATTTTGTTCATTCATTTATATGTTTTTTTCTCATAATGATATAATAAATTGTATATAATTTTGCACATTGTTGATGGTTTTGTAAATATTTATGTATGTATGCATCATGTAGCGGTTTTATTAGCCATTTTATAACCATGTGATTAACTCCGTATTTTCTCCAGATTTCCGTATTTCCGCATTTTATCAACCAAGTAAATACCTCCATATTTTGTATATATGGAAATGTGGAAATCTGAGAGAATACGGAAAAAGAGTCCAAATACTCCCATCCACATTTTCTCCATATTTTGAATACGGAGAAAATCTGGAAATTTGAATCTACGAAAATCTGGAATGAATGCGGAAAATTAGTCCAAATACTCCCGTCCGCATTTTTTCCTTATTTTGAATAAGGAAAAAATGTGGAGATCTGAGGTGCGGGAGAGCAAAACATGGCAAGACATGCCATTATATTCATATGGGAGGTGGCGGGTATTATTTAGTGAGCTCATTGTTCACAGTACCTCTAGTTTTTTTTGGATTCTTCGTTTTATTTAAGTTACGGAGGTCACAATTAATCATTCTATAATTCTATTTAATTGCCACAACTTTTGTTCATATTCAACCTTTAATACAATCAATTCATTCTCTGTATATGCTGTATGGACAAAATCCTCGTGCATCACCTGTCAATCAAATGACGCTAGGTGACCTTGAAAGTCTGTTTACGCAGAAAGAATTTCTCTTGTGATTTGAAACAATCTTATATATGGTCAGTTCCAAGTTCACACCTGTTTAAAAAAATATATTAGGTCTCTGCCGGTGAGCCAGAGGCACCGTATGTTTATCACACCTTTCAAATTCTTTAGCTCTGACCACAGCAAGTGTAAAACAAACTCAACTGATATCAAGTGAAATTCATCTTCCAGGTTTCACTACAACAACGATTATAAACTTACATGTACTTTGTTAATTTATTTATCCTTTTTCAGATACAAATAAGCATGTATCCCGTAGATTAAGATTTTAAAAAACATAACAAATTTGCAGACTTCTGATAAACTTTTAACCAGCGGATTCGTTTCGCTTTCTAGAAGGGGGGGGGGGGAGACCATTATTAAAAATCACTATATATCAATATGTTTTCTCAAACTGTTTTATTTTTCTTTTCATTTTCACATGATATACCAGTATTTCAGAATGAAGTAATATTCATACTGAAGTTCACATTTCATTTGCCAAAAATTCGGCTGGTGATTTTTGTATTCAGCGTGTAAGTTGATCACTATTTTAATTAATAAAATTTATCAGATTATCATCTCTGCCTGTTCAGTAGATTTTCGAGTTTACCGCATTTAATATTTATCTCCATATTTTACATAATTACAGATTTTCAGTGTTTACTTAGTCTTACTGCAATAATCCTTATCTGAACCTGTCCAATGATTCGCTGAGTATCGGTACCGGTATCAAAGAGCAGAATTAATGTGCGAGTCTGATACGTATTTGTTAAAAGAATTTTATTCTAGCTAGACACAGTACATATATATATTTTTAAATTCTTACAAAATAATTAATTCACTTAGTATAATCACGCATCTGATATGTACTACGTATGAACGCATATATACGTAGGGAAAAACGATCTTGTATCAACAATTTAATTGAACACGGTTAAAATCAAAATCGAAAGTAGAGGCAATCAAGTAATTCAATTATGAAAGTGTGTTTCCTCTTAGCGTAAAATAATAATAGTCTATTGAACTTTTTATGACTAATATAATTAGGATATAACTTGAAACGTGATTGTACATTTTGTTTTGCTGGACACGAGTACGTTGTTATTAAATTTAATGGCATCTTATAAGTTTAAAAATCTGTATGCGATAAATTACCAAATGAATATCAATTTATAGAAAAAATACAACAAATATTTCAAATGAAGGTTGATTTAATTTTATCAAATAAGGGCAATGAAAATGTTTAAAATATTTATCATTAAAACTTTGACACACAGTGTTACACGGTGCACAGAAACGCTGACTTCAAAGACGCCAACAAAGTTCAAGGTCCATGCTAACATGCTGACTAGAAATCAATTTTTAAAAAGATATTTGAAGTTACTCTAGACATTTGCATTCTGAATAACATGTCCTAAAATCATTTCAAATACTCTTTCTCGGGTGAAACACAATAAAGGGAACAGTAAGGTTGCACTTGAGAGTAAAAAATTTCTTTATTTTGGCTCAAAAATATTTCTTCTAAAAAGGAGAGTATCTCAAGGATCTGAAACATAAACTGTTTCATGAAATTCACATTAGAACTTTGTTTTTTACAAGCTGATACTAATCTCATTTTCACAGGTTACGGACACTACAAGTGTTGTTTTCTTTGAAATAAATCTTGAAAACTGTTTATAAACTTTAATTTTTTCAACTGCCCACAAACAAACAACATATAAAAATACAAAATATGGACAAAAGTTGGATTTAAAAAGGTGGCATTATACTTTAATATGAAAACAGTTCTTACTTCATTCATTTTTGTTTAAAATGGTAGTACATGTATTTCAATTTATGTGAACTCTTTAAAACTAATATAAAGAAAGAAAGAACTATCTATAAATAACCTTTTTTATGCCTTTGTTGAAATGTAAATACTTCAATTGAATTGGAAATTTCATTTTTGGCTTTTGGTTTGTGGTAAAATAAACATTTTATAAACTTCTGAACTATTAGAAATCAGATTTAAATGATTATTAAATACAAACTGCATGAAAATTTGATATTTTTTCAAGTAAAAACAATTTACTTGCAGAACTAATGTCAATAGGAAAAAAATCCAGTTTAGGAAATTCTGAAACTTTCTTTTTTCACATAACTATATAGCTGAAGTGCAGAAGAAAAGTTCTCTAATTCATTAAAGTTTTATGAAAATTATTTAGAATGTATGTACACTGATCAACGAAATCAAATAACAAAATTTAAGGGTTATGGACACTACACAATACTTTAATTTTTCACAGGCTTGAGGATGAAGTTTTTGTTTTTCAGCCCTTTTCCTAACTTTTTTTCGGCATTTTATTTCTCGTTTCAGTTTCTCCCGATTTTTTTTATTCTTCAGATCTCAACTTCATTTGATAAAAGCATACCATAACCAGTATACTTTGAATAAAAATATACACACCTAACTTTATACAGGTGTTATGTGCAAGTAGAAAAGTCAAACCTTGAAGAATTAAAAGCTCACTAATATTTCTTTAATTTATTTTTTTTATTCTGTGAAGCATTCTTTTTTTCTTCAGTTCAATATACAATACTTTATCTGAAATTGGTTTAATTTTAGTTGTTTTCTTTTTTGATTTTTTCTTGTAGTGTCCGTAACCAAACTACTTCCCTACTGTTTAACATTTTGAATGCAAATTTACTTGCATTTAACACATTTTAAGATATTACCTAATAAGCAACTAGACTATTAAAGCAATATATCACAAGAAATATGGGTTAAGTAACTCATGATAACAATTTTTAACTATTTTTATGTCATTGTAGGGGTCAAGTCATTATTTTAGTACTTGCAGTAAAGAAATAAACCACCTGATTTAGAAGAATTCCAGCTAATAAACACCATTTTATCTCTATATAAAATTAATAATACACTGCTTCAAAAATTTATCTGTAAATTCTATGGAGAAAAAATAAAGATATTTCATTTTTTCAACTTTTGGTTACGGACACTACACTATACAAGTTATTTAAAATAGGATGAAACTTAACTTTAGATAGAGGAATTCCAACAAGATTTTCTTAAATGTAACACCAGTTAACTTAAACAATGAAAAAATAATGAAATGCTATTTGACTTAAATCCTAGAATGTCAATAGCATCTGCCAATATCAAGGTAATGTAACACCAAGGATCTTGTATATGGAATATGTGCAATCTGGGTTTCCCAAACTAGCTGCTTTATCAAAAACATAGGTAATCAAAGATTATGAAGCTCACCTCGACGAATGTTATCAGTGTAAGTAATGCATATCTCACATCATATTTTCTTAATATCTAGTATTTATCCCAACAACAATATTCTTGCAAGTTGTGTTTAACCCCTTACATGGCATATACATACTTCTACGCATGTAGCATGAAAAACATGTATAGTGTAAACAAATATTCATAACTTTGTTAATAATGCAGGTATCAAGGACTTCAAGTTCACTGGGATTAATCTGTTCCCAAAAAACCTGGTCTCTTGTATGGAAAACATAGGTCACATTCAGCATGCGAAGCAAGTCTGGTAGTGTCCATCCCTAGATGCATCAACCATGCAAGTTTGATTCAGGTAGGGCTTACAGTTACTTGGGAATGAAAATATAGGTCAGATCCAGCATCTGAAGCAAGTCTGGTAGTGTCCATCCCTAGATGCATCATCCATGCAAGTTTGGTTCAGGAAGGTCTTATAGTTACTAGGGAATGAAAATGTAGGTCAGATCCAGCATCCAAAGCAAGTCTGGTAGTGTCCATCCTTAGATGCATCATCCATGCAAGTTTGGTACGGGTAGGTCTTATCGTTCCTTGGGAATAAAAATGTAGTTCAGATCCAGCATCCGAAGCAAGTCTGATAGTGTCCATCCCTAGATGCATCATCCATGCAAGTTTGGTTCAGGTAGGGCTTATAGTTACTTGGGAATGGACTTGCTCCTAAAACTTTAACCTGGGACGCCGACGCCAACGCCGGGGGTATAGCATAAGCTCATCTCAACTTCGTCGAGGTGAGCTAATGAGGGAGAAAATAAAGTACATTGATTAATTTGTTAAACAAACCTCTGATCTTT